ATGTGCGTATATATATATGTACACATACATGTATGTGTACACACACGTGTGAGTGTGTATATGTGTGTGTGTGTGTGTGTGTATATATATGTATAAAAATAAATAAATAAATTTATTTGTATTTATATACATATTCTATTCTTTGTGTGCATGTGTGTTTCCAGCATCCATCAGCAGTTTCCTGACGGTGCTGGCATGGTACCCCAACACCTCCCTGAGAACATGGTGTCTGGTGCTGCACTCTCTCACCCTGATGACTAACATGCCAGCCTGCGGTCAGTACTTCACTCTCACTGGTTTCCTTCTGTGAAATGTCCTGTAGCATCATACCACACTGCGAGCGTTTCAGAAGCTTAGCGTTTTGACTGCTGGGTTGCAGATTTGATTGATTAGGTCATTTCTTTCTGGATATTTGTGCTTCTACCAATAAGCTACATACTTAAACGGTTTATTTTTTGTCTGTTATAATTGTTATTTTCTACGCTATTGTGCTGCAGCCGATAGAAAACTCCTATAGGAGCAGAGTGGAGAGCTGCTTCTAAAAGAGCACGAAGGAGCTTAGTCATTATTTCCACAGGGATTGGATGATCAGACGGGGTTTGATTTTTTTGTATGTGAATGTGGAATAAAATGTTCATCAATACAGTCTCCAGAAGCCAAAAGTACAGATTGGATGGATATAATTTAAAATCATTCGTGAAAACAAATGTTGACTTATAAAGTAAATTATAGAAGCAAAACACCATGTGCAGGTTGACTGATGATTTTGGAGCTGAAATGCTTTGTGAATTAGCTCTACTCCTAACTTCAAGAATTCCTAACAATTTCTCCAAACTCGTCCAGTTAGCAGCTACTTCAGCCATGATGTCGCATAAATACACCCCATTATTCTTTTTGAATCAGCCATGTTTGCTTATTGGTTGATTACATTTTTGATTTTATATACGTTAGTCATCATGAATGCAATGTTTTTTGGCATTCACCTCTTAAATTTTGGATTTAGCACATCTTTGAATGGACCATCAGGTTTAATGGATGCGCAGGATGCTCCCTGCTCAAAAATCTATTTCCGTGAGACAATAACATTCTGTAACTCTGACCAAAAATGGACAACTTAAGTCTCTGCATGGTGATTTTCATTGTGTACTGTACTAATTAGAATAAAAAGGGCCATCTCCCACACAGCCGTTTGTTGGTGGTTGTCAATTGTGTGGTGTTCAATGACAAATCTATAATCTGTGTTTGAACCTCCAGCCTCCAATAATGGGATGAGCTCTCAGGAAAACACAGCGCAGCAGATGGTGTCTGATCCCACCCTGGTTCATGTCCTGGTGCGCTTCCTGTCCGGCTGCAGCACCAATGGGACAAGCCAGCACAGCTCTCAGGTGGGACCCACCGCCACCCAGGCCATGCACGAGTTTTTGAGCCGCCTGCAGGTCCACCTGTCCTCCACATGTCCTCAGATGTTCAGCGAGTTCCTGCTCAAACTCATGCACATCCTGTCTACTGAGAGGTATGCAATCGCTTCTCGAGAAAGGTATTTTCAATCATTAATATTTGCATGTTACAGCACAGTCATCAGTCCAATAATGACAAAATAAGAATTGCTTTAGATGCTCTATAAATGCTCTTTGGGAACTAATGGTTCATCCTAACCTTTCAGGGGTCCGTTCCAGTCGGGCCAGGGTCCACTGGATGCCCAGGTGAAGCTACTGGAGTTTACTCTGGAGCAAAACTTTGAGGTGGTGTCAGTGGCTACCATCTCCTCCGTCATCGAGTCCATCACATTCTTGGTTCACCACTACATCACCTGCTCCGACAAAGTGGTTTCCCGCAGCGGCTCAGACAGCTCTGTGGGCGCTCGGGCTTGTTTTGGTGGTTTGTTTGCCAACATCATCCGGCCAGGAGACGCAAAGGCAGTCTGTGGAGAGACGACGCGCGACCAGCTGATGTTTGACCTCCTCAAGCTGGTCAACTTGCTGGTGCAGCTGCCTCTGTCCGGGGACAGAGAGTTCAGTGGACGGCTGCCGCCGGCAGGCAGCGGAGCAGCTGATAGCAGTGTGTCGGACGAGGAGAAGGTCTGTGGCAGCAAAGAAAGCGTAGCTGGGGGATCCGCGTTCAGTCAGGGCCCCCCTGCCGGTGTGGCCGACCTGGTGCTAGCCAATCAGCAGATTATGAGCCAGATCTTGTCAGCACTGGGCCAGTGCAACAGCAGCGCCATGGCCATGATCATAGGTGAGACGAATCACAGAAAATGATCTTGACCAACAGTTTCAGCATCTTTTACCTCATTGTTCTGGTTTTACTGTCCACAAATCAGTGGTTTTGGTTCAACAGTAGACAGTAGACACTGTTGGAGAATAGCTGGTGAACATAGTGGCGCCTTAAGGAGCTAAAAAGACAGATTGATGGAAATCAGAGCTAGAAGAAAGAAGACTTGTTTGCCAGAGTGGCTTTATGAGGGGATAATATGTCATTGTTCTTCGCAGCTGCCCCCAAAGTGGCTAAACAATCTGAAAGTGATGGTTTAAATGAATGACATTGGAAAGTTAAAGTGTCACTTATGTGCAGTCAAAAAACAAATGTTTGTGAGAACAAGATATGGGGTATTTATGGAATATTGATAAATGTTAATATGTAGTGTAACTTCAACAAAAGAAGAGTTGTGAAGTTGGCAAACTGACTCCGTCATGTCAGTCATACAGCATCATTTGGCTCCTAAAGCATGAACAAACATTAGTCACCATACGGGTCACACCAGACCAACACTGTAGCATCAAAACCCCTGAGTGTATTGATTTCCACTACGGTGTGTTTAACTGCTTTTCAATTCAACTTTTCAGAGTATATACACTGCTCAAAAAAATAAAGGGAACACTTAAGCAACACATCCTAGATCTGAATGAATGAAATAGTCGTATTAAATACTTTGTTCTTTACATAGTTGAATGTGCTGACAACAAAATCACACAAAAATTATCAATGAAAATGAAATTTATTAACCCATGGAGGTCTGGATTTAAGTCACACTAAAAATTGAAGTGGAAAAACACACTACAGGCTGATCCAACTTTGATGTAATGTCCTTAAAACAAGTCCAAATGAGGCTCAGTAGTGTGTGTGGCCTCCACGTGCCTGTATGACCTCCCTACAATGCCTGGGCATGCTCCTGATGAGGTGGCGGATGGCTCCTGATGAGGTGGCGGATGTCTCCTGAGGGATCTCCTCCCAGACCTGGACTGAAGCATCCGCCAACTCCTGGACAGTCTGTGGTGCAACGTGGCGTTGGTGGATGGAGTGAGACGTGATGTCCCAGATGTGCTCAATTGGATTCGGGTCTGGGGAACGGGCGGGCCAGTCCATAGCATCAATGCCTTCGTCTTGCAGTAACTGCTGACACACTCCAGCCACATGAGGTCTAGCATTGTCTTGCATTAGGAGGAACCCAGGGCCAACCGCACCGGCATATGGTCTCACAAGGGGTCTGAGGATCTCATCTCGGTACCTAATGGCAGTCAGGCTACCTCTGGCGAGCACATGGAGGGCTGTGCGGCCCTCCAAAGAAATGCCACCCCACACCATTACTGACCCACCGCCAAACCGGTCATGCTGGAGGATGTTGCAGGCAGCAGAACGTTCTCCACGGCGTCTCCAGACTCTGTCACGACTGTCACTTGTGCTCAGTGTGAACCTGCTTTCATCTGTGAAGAGCACAGGGCACCAGTGGCGAAGTTGCCAATCTTGGTGTTCTCTGGCAAATGCCAAACGTCCTACCCGGTGTTGGGCTGTAAGCACAACCCCCACCTGTGGACGTCGGGCCCTCATACCACCCTCATGGAGTCTGTTTCTGACCGTTTGAGCAGACACATGCACATTTGTGGCCTGCTGGAGGTCATTTTGCAGGGCTCTGGCAGTGCTCCTGCTGTTCCTCCTTGCACAAAGGTGGAGGTAGCGGTCCTGCTGCTGGGTTGTTGCCCTCCTACGGCCTCCTCCACATCTCCTGATGTACTGGCCTGTCTCCTGGTAGCGCCTCCATGCTCTGGACACTACGCTGACAGACACCGCAAACCTTCTTGCCACAGCTCGCATTGATGTGCCATCCTGGATGAGCTGCACTACCTGAGCCACTTGTGTGGGTTGTAGACTCCGTCTCATGCTACCACTAGAGTGAAAGCACCGCCAGCATTCAAAAGTGACCAAAACTTCAGCCAGAAAGCATAGGAACTGAGAAGTGGTCTGTGGTCACCACCTGCAGAACCACTCCTTTATTGTGGGTGTCTGTCTTGCTAATTGCCTATAATTTCCACCTGTTGTCTATTCCATTTGCACAACAGCATGTGAAATTGATTGTCAGTGTTGTTTCCTAAGTGGGCAGTTTGATTTCACAGAAGTGTGATTGACTTGGAGTTACATTGTGTTGTTTAAGTGTTCCCTTTATTTTTTTGAGCAGTGTATATACATACACATACAGTTGTGTGAAAAAGTGTTTGCCCCCTTCATGATTTCTTATTATTTTGCATGTTTGTCACACTTAAATGTTTCAGATCATCAAACAAATTTAAATTAGACAAAGATAACACAAGTAAACACAAAATGCAGTTTTTAAATGAAGGTTTTTATTGTTAAGGGGGAAAAAAAATCCAAACCTACATGGCCCTGTGTGAAAAAGTGATTGCCCCCCCCC